AAATAATGGCAAAATCTCCCATCTTTACTGCACGAGCAATTACGATTCCACTGCGTAGCTCCAGAGGACATGTTTCTGCTGCCACATAAATTTCTATGCTATTTCTTTTATACAGAGACAAAGCCTATGTGTGAGATTTCTCTGCATTCTGCATTGGCACATGTCAGGTAACACACAGAAGGGCACGAATAGGATCACACTGCTGAAGTCCATGGAGCCACTTGTACTGAGCTAATGGCAGAAGCTCAATTCTGTCATTTAAGAACACTGGAAGTGTTCAGCTGTTGAGTTCCATTCCTCAGTACTTCCGATATCGTTCTCCAGATGGAAACCAAATTCTTCATGTTTACACAACTGCTTTATTTTGATCCCAAGAACAATTACGAAAGAGGAAAACAAACCTCTCCTTTATAGATAGAAAATCTTATACCTACTCTGCCAAGATCCCCTCTGCACACACTATTTGATTTTGCATAAAGAAGAATCCAGGAGCAACATTTGTAAGTGTTTAGACCTCAGGTAAATGTGCTTATTCGTGTATTTTCCTTAAAATTAGCTTTTAAATCCTCACCACTGCTCGACACTTCCCAGCAGCCCTGCAGAGCTTCTGTTTTATTTAAAGGTCTATCACCACCTGTCAGTGCAGCATCAAGAACATGCTGGAACATCCCATTAGTCCTGAGCCTGGATAGGACAGACAAGGTTTTTTAGTAGCTTCACTGTATTAATGCTTTGTTAGAGTTTCTTACATGTCTCCTGCTAATAGGAATAACCTCTGGAGCACTAGCAATTTATCCATACATCTAGCTCACACCGCTTGTCACAGTAAGTAACAGCTGATAACCCTCTTGGGCTGTTTTTCATCTTCAGTAGGAGCGCTCTCATTCTAGAATACATTATTTTAACCTGTCAGAGTATAAACAGGACAATTACTTAGACCAATGTGGGCTGAAAGTGTTGATAACTAAAGTTAAATCCAGCATTGTCACACTAATGTGCTCGTGTTAAACCAAGCACAATGAGGCAGCTTGCCTTCTCAAATGAAAACATTTGTCAAACTCTCTAATTCAAAATCGACCAAGTACAGATCTCTTGATTTGCACTGCTTACTGACAAGCCTGGGAAAGCAGCAGTGGAAATGGTGAACCGATTATCAGGGTAGAGAGAGAAAATCACTGTGCAGGAAGAACCAGGCTGGTTTGTGTCTGCAAAGAGAGAACTTGAGGACTCAGGGACAGAAGGGTTTTGTAGATTTGCACAAAATCCTCCTGCACTCCTGAGTACCCAGGAGCACTGTCTGATCCCTGGGTATCTCTGAGCCCACCAAACCTGCTAGAGCTGCCTTTGCATCCTTCTCTCACTGATTTCCTACTGCTGTGGGCAGCACTGCAAGCAGCAGCATTACTTTGCTCATCAAACAGCCAGCAGTACAACTCCAGCCCACACACTGCAAGCAGCTCACCTGCTCTCACCGTCCAATTTCATCAAAGAGAAAGGGCAAAAGATGTCAACACTTCTTCCTTCCCTACACCCTCTCCTTCCTACAGCACCTCTACCTCGCTCTTCCCATGGGCACAGCAACTCCTGCTAAGCACAGCCAACAGCCATGCTGCTCTCTAACCTTTCAGCACTCTTCTTCTGAGATGTTTTTGTGCTCTCACTCAGATTTGACCTTATCTTTCTCCTCCGACTCCTTCCTCTCCTAACACAAACTCCTCTGAAACTGCCCACCCTGAAGTCTTTGCTGATCATAGCTGGGGATTTGTCCTCCAACCTCAGCTTCCTTAAGCTCCTGGATACTATTCACAGTTGCCTAATAAGCAAGTATTCTACATCATCTATTTAAGCATTAAGTTCTTGATATCTTTCGATGATCCAACTCAGTTTAGACTGTGCTGAAACCGCCTGACAGCTGGTAAGAAGATCTTAAAGATATGAAGAAGCAACTGCCCTATATCAGCCACGTCCCACATTGTAAAGAACAATGTAGGTGGTGCGGTGTTTTCTTTGACAGCAGTGCTCTGGGGAAGAAAAAACACTGTACTGTTACCAAACCAAAAAGGAATGTGAATGTTGTTTAAAAAAAAAACAGGATGTCATGCAGGTCTCTGTATCAAATCTTCACTAGATACTCTGTATTACCTAAAAACCATAAGTAAAAATTCAGATGAAGCAAAAGGATGATTTTCATTGTTTCCACTCTCCACAGGACAGACCCCATAGTATAACAGAATGGTTGCTCACAGTCTGGACTTGGGACCACACTGAATTTTGCACTACCTTATTGTGCTATGCCTAATCCTACATTAAAGTATCAGGAAATTTAGAAAAGTAAACATCTCGTGGAAATAAATGGGCACCACTGTCTTTTGCCAAACTAACATAAGCTTTTTTTCCTGTAATTCTCAGTGCAGTATTCATCTCCCCGTGATTGTGAGCAAGGCGAAGGTTTGCTCAGAGAGATCTGATAAGTAACATAAAAACTCTGAATTGAGGAATATCTGTAAACTTATTCCTGATTGTTTTCCTGATAGTTTTTCAGTGCTCATCAGTTACAAAGTGATATACTTTTTTTTTTTTTTCTTTAATGGTTTCCTCAAGTTTATCTCATTTGTAATAGTTTTGTCTTTTGGTCTTTTTTTTTTTTTTTTTTTTTTTTTCCAATTGGTAACTAAGGTTTTTCCTTATACTAACCATATTCTTGAATCTAAGAGTCAGATGGTAACGTACCCTTTTATACAAGTTTGGGCAAGTAATTGTAACAATGAGCAAATACAAATCTAACTGCCCAGACCTCACAATAATTTCTTTAACCCGCGCTTTTCAGTAAGACTGTTTAACTGGGGTGGAAAAGTGAAAATTCATGTCCATACAAATGCAATATGAAAATAAGTTGAGAGCAGATATGGGGGGAAAAACAAAAAAAAAAACAAAAACAAAAAACCATCCATCAATGTAGAAGGACTGTGGTTTGGGTATTTTCAAGCACAAAAAGGAATGAAATGCTAGTGTGGTCTCATTTGGCATTACCATTCCACTGATGAAACTGACAGAAAAGATACGATTTAATAAGCCACAGTCCATTAAAAGTCTCTGATTTATTAGATGTAGAGGCTAACAACATAAATATTTAAAATGTAATCAGAAAAGTTAGAGATTAATTCATTGAATATTCCTTCTGCAAAAGGCTGAACCACATAAAATGAGGAAACATGCAGGATTTTTACATATAGCACAGCCTCTTAATACGCAGTAAGCCTAACACTTACAGACAGGTTAATATATTCTTCAAGCTTCTTTCTGCACAGTTTTTTCTTAAATGTATCTTTCTATCATGTCTCTTCCTTTTCTAATTTGTAAACACAGTCTCAAAGTCTTTATTCAACTCTCTGCTATGATGGGTACTTTAAAAGGCCAAAGTCCCTACTTATTGCTCTGAAATTCTCTTGATGCTTACAGCTTCTCCTTTCTATCATTTGTTTCTGTATTTTACTAAGGATTAAACTCAAAATTATCATTTTGGCAGAAGAAAAAGAGTACTTTCCACTGTTACATTCTTCCCACTCATTCTGGTATCTCGGGGTCTCTAAAATCTGCTTGAAATTACAGTCAGTAGTTGAGCAAACCTGGGACCTAATTCCCATCCAGCCTTTGCAACCTCAGTATCTTACTGCTCTGCAGGCCACGGGCCACTGAGACAAATAAATATCCTACACACCTGTCAAGAAGCTCATCAATATACTATCACCACTGAATAAACACAGCTAGAATATTCCTGTTTAAAATAAGATTTACCAAAAAAGTCATTTCCATTTAGTCCATACATCATTTTAACTCAAAATCATTTTAAATCATTTTGATTTTTTCTTTTCACTTCTGATAAGAAGAGAAACATTTATTTGTTTAACATATCGCTGTCTAAGAGTGAGTAAGACACCTAAGCACAATGCTATAGTGAATATGGTGATGCAGGTCAGAAGCCTTGCAATCTTTCTTGGGTAAAGCACATGCAATGCAAGGAAGAACACATCACTGATAACTGCAACAAAACTTGGAACAAGCAATCTCATTGTGGCATCACAAGGGACTGGAAGTTATAACATGGTGGAAATGTGAATAAACAACAAATGTAAAAGAGAAAGCTGGCAGCAATACATAAGAAGCCAGGAATGACACAAAATTAATAAGGGAAGCAAAAGGACAACTGAAGAAATCAATGGTTAATAAAGCTTAGGACAGTAGAATTAAGTTTATAAAGTGTGTTGTAACAAACAGTATCTAACCAACAGTTACTGGCCCATTACCACTATGGAAATGATAACAATGTCAATAATACTGCAGGGAAAGACAACCACCTTCAATAAACACATCTGTTCCGTGTTTGGGCTAATGCCAGATGATGAAGCCTTACAACAGATCAATGCTGATTAAATAGCTATTTTCCAATGACAATTAATTGATAAGGATGTTAAATACATCTCTTACAATAGAAACTTTACCCAGCAATCTAAATAATTTATAACCAGGCACTTTTGACTGACTGAAGATTTCTTACTATCATTCCTAATCAGTTTTGATTGTTCACAAAAACCCGGGCTCCAGTGAAGTTACTCATGCCATAGTACTTAAATGGTTTAAGCAAAATGAATGGAGCAATTATGGGTCTCACAGCAAGAAAAATTGTTGAAGTAGTAAACAATGACTAGGATTTAAGTGATAACTAAAGGAATGTACTTCAAGCAATGGCAATGAACACCAATTCAAGGAGAAAAGACATTTTTCCTTTGTGTTGTCTAAGATGATGAAGTTATTTAAAATGGATAATAGCCTTGAGAAAAGGATTCTCTTACTGCATTGGCAAAGCCTCCCACAGCATTTTGGTAAGAAACACAGACCAACCCAAATCTACTGAAACAGACATTAAACACATGTCAAAGAGATGCAAATATTTACCACTGACTGGAGAAGCTCAACTTACACAGTGGCAAGCACTGCCCTACCTGTAGAGGTTCTGTCCTCCCATCTTCTGCTGTTCGCTCTTGCCACCATCTTACCCAGCCATGTTCCATACAGGCATGAAAAGCTGTGGATCACATTGAAAGAAATAATCTGAAATTCAGTGCAAAATACAGCCAGACTGACAAAACATTGAACAATACTGAATTTATGGACAGGGACACTACTGAAGGAAGAACAGAGACTTTGCAGTAGGACTTTGTGGATCAATGTACAAATTGTTATTCTCATTGTTCAGTGGAACAATTACTAAAATCCATTTGCCAGTAAATGTGCCTTGTCTTGTAAATCATTGGGTCATTAACCTTAACAATGTCAGTGTGTTGTCACTATCCAATTCAATTAAATTACTGACCAAGGTGATACCTAAAAGCACATTCCAGAAAAAAAAAGAAAAAGGATCTGTGTTATGTTAATATCTATGCAGTATCTTAGTTTTGTACCTGGAAATAAGAACATATCCTAAAACTCAGGTAATAGATTCTAAAAGCCAGGTGAAGAAATCCTTCTGCTTAGAAGGAAATGAAAATGGAAACGTTAGAGCGGGAGGAAGAGGAGATGAGAGAGAGAGAGAAAATGGAAAATGATACCAAGCAATTGCCTCCAGCAGGTCAAGTATGCATTGCTATGGGTCATTTTTCAACATTTATTGAGGTGAGAAAACAGGGATACAAGATATTCCCTTGCCCTTTCCTTATTGTAGCCGGCAACACATCTTAGCAGATGTCCAGTGTTGCCAGAGTGCATAATAGCAGCAGCATATAGAAAAGGTGAGCAAAGTCCCCGTTGACCTTCCCAGGCCAGCAGCAAAGTATAAGGCCAGCAGTCCATTCGAGTGGGGGGTAGCAGAAAAAGTAGCAGCTGTTTTCCAGTTTTATTTGAAAAAACAACCCTATGTTGAAGCATGAGGGCTGGTAAACCGCTCTCATCACTACAGTCTTATTCTTAGATGTCTTTCTGCTGCACACTTCCACGCATATATTTAAGTAGATTCTCAGTCCACACTCCAGGGAAGGAAATTTTTCTTCTCCTTTTGTTTTCCTCCAGTATCCTCATTTTTCCCCATCAAAGCACAGACTTTATGACACAAAAGCACAGACAGGTTCAGTGAGGTAGCTTAATTACTGCAATTTTTGCAACTCTTGCTTGCCCATGACTTCACCATGTTAGGTGCTGTAAAAAGGGCAGCCCTTGCTCCAGACTCTAGCATAGAGACACCAGAGCACTGTGGGCAAAAATGCTGGAGCATTCATAGAAGCCATAAAATCACGTTGCTCAGTACATCAGGTAAAAAGCAGCCTGTTCACCGACAGAACTGTTGTCAACTCAATGGCAAACAAACTTGCTTTACTCAGGTCTGGTCAACTGCAAAGGAGAACTGAAATCTATATAATCCTAAAGGTCCCATAGGGTGTCCTCACTGGGGTAGCGCTGCTAAGCTGGAATGTTTCACCTTGAATGCATCATTTCTAGGTAGTCATAGAGGGCTTCCTCAGACATGTCCTTGTGAAGCTACAGTACAGCATCCACTTTAAAACCAACCAGCTACTGACTCTGGAAGGACAGCTGTTTGCAAGGTACCTCTGAGAACTACGGTTGGCTTAGCGAGTCTTGAGGTAGGTCGTCGTGCATGTCCTTGTTTTGGAAGAACGATGAACTCCAGACTGAAATAAGTTTTGTTTTGTTACTTTAAAAAACTTTGTATGCACAGGGATCTCTGTGCCCTCCAGGCCATACAGAAATGGCAAACAATGCCACATGGGTTCTTCATAATCTACAGAAAACGTTTTGGTTTTTTTTCTGCAGGCTTCAAAGTGGAGGGAAGATGACAGAGAAAAAAATCATCTCTCCATACTATACAACTGCAATTTTTTACAAATAAATGCATTCTACTCTCAGTACAAGTTTTATCTTAAATGGTAAAATGAAAACGATTTTATCAAATCGTTTCTACAAAGTTATTCAGGGTACAAACAAAGAAAATACAACAGAATTGGAAATGAACTAAACTAAACCACCTGCAAAACTTCTATTTCAGTGGGACACAACAACTGGAACAGGCTTTAAGCATAACAGCCCAAACAAAAGGTAGAGTGCTGCCTTGTTAATGGAATTGCACTTCGGATCATGAGCCAAATGGATGCAATTTTATGTGAACTGTACACACAAAAAAAATTCCTCAGCAAATGTATGGAACATGAGGCTTCTTTTCACCTTACTTTAACTAGGCAGCAGGGAAACATTACAACCTAAGAGTAGATATCAGCTTTAGGAGACTTATGGGATTGTTAAAATGAGAGTTCAAAATAAAAGAGAAGGCAGACAAAATAATTGTTTGAGCAACATAAGTCATCACTGTTCTCCTCATATGTTTTCTCCTCTCTCAGTACTAACCAAGGCACGCATATATATCTTTCAAATCATATTTTTCCTTCAACTTATAGAAGTATTATCTGGACATATCAGAAGAATAACATATTCTGAGGAGTCTACATTGAGAGCTAGAGGAAGAAAACATATGTAACAAAGGAACACATTAATTGAATAAAGAGACACAAAGCAAGGCTTAAACAGTGCTTTGTGCTTTTCAGTGATGTTTTCAGACAGCAGATAATTAACTAGAAACCACTGACAATAATAGTGAACTTGTATTACTGTATTACTTCCCTTGCTTTGGAAGCTGGATTTGGAAGCACACTTAAGAGCTTATCAGAACACTTCTGTTGACAATCTATTAGACCTAAATCCACATCCCATTCTCAGTTAACTACTCTCATCAGATCACTGTTGAGTAGTCCCAGCTTACAACTCTGCTGGCAGAGACTATTTGTTTTTATGAGATCATCTCATTTTAAGACTTCTGACACCAAGGTGTTCATCATGTTGGAAATTATGGGAAACAAGAACAGAAAACACTGCTTGTCATTGCTCTCCTGTTCCCCAGCATCAGGCCTCACAGGGATGATTGCAGAGTGATCCTCAAATCTATGTCTTCCTCTACAAGCCTTGCAAGAAAGGACTTTAACATCACTGCAGCTTGCTAAAGACAGTAACTCGTTCAAAAGTGCAGCAGTTTACAGAAACAGATTCTCTCCACAAATGTTACACAGATACTCCAAGTGCTGTACTGTTGTTAGAAAAAAACCCTCTCTCTTAGCTGCTGTAGTTCTAAACCCTTCTTTTAGAATTCCTCAGAGAATCAGTATCTTACTGCAAACCTTTTTGCCCCTTCCAGGCTCCCAGCTGCATTTTCAACACAGTTTCCCAAAGGTCTGTCTGGAATGGCTTTGGTTTTGTTCCTTTCAGTTTGACTGCAGATTTCTTAAAACCTGCAGTACTTCCCAGCAGGGAGCATGAAGGGTGGTACAGGGGTGTAAAATGCTGCAGTGCATAAACTGCCAATCCAGATAGGCAATTAAATGCAACAACATGACTCTCAAGAGCAAACCTTGTAGTTCTGTAATGAATGTTTTCAAAAGCTTTAAGTTATGCAAGAAAAGGATATTTTTGCTCACTAAATGCTAACAATTAGAGCCAAACAATTGGAAGTTATTGATTATAGCTGAATTCTTCATGCTTTCAGCAATGCTGACACGCATGGACCACATGAATACCAACATCCAGAGTCTGCCTAGCTTATCCAAAGAGCATTAATTGCAACAGACCACACGGACCTCACTTATTTAATCACCTTGATAAGTTCTTATCGCATGAATCATCTTATGGATTAGCTTTCTAGCTTGTTCTGGTATTTGATTCCTGTAGAGGCACAGCCGCACTGCCACTCATTCACCAACAGATTTCTCATCCCATTGCCCATCTCTCCCGTGTGCTTGCAGTTTCCAGCAGCATGGGGTTTGCAGAGCAATCAATGGCTGCAGTGATGCTGAAATGACTTAATTTACACTTGTCTCACTTCTCCAAGAAGTCAAAAAATACCAAGCCTATTGCACACTCTGTTCCATTCTTCTGCTTTTGGAGCGTAAAGAAACTTGAGATACTTTTTTTGTATGTCCCAGCTTTTAAAAAGCTTCAGTAAAAGTTCACACTGACCTGCAGCTAAGCAAGTCTGCTACATATTTCATCATGGATATACAAACTGCAGATGATACACTCTGAAAACAATCCAAAGTGTCCTAAAACAACCTTCAAACATGGACAAGTTTACTTGCTCCTGTGAAGGAAATTCTGACTGAACTGAAAGAGCATTACTTTGCCAAACCACAATCTCACACTATTTCTGCAGGGCTTCTCTTCCCAGAAAGACTGCTTTTTCTTGGTAACATTTTTTTTTCTTTTTTAACTAGCACTCCACAATTCTATATAAGCTTAAATTACAGCATCATCTCTGCACACAATGGTTGCAAAATAAATCATTTTCTCTTCATTTTAATGAGAATTTATTCACATTGAATAGAGACATTGTACAAAAGACAGAAAGCAGGCACGCACGAGCGATTAGGCTGTTGTCCCTTTAATAAATACATTGTAATTAAACAAATGTCAGCAGTTCAGTCTTGTGCAGAGATGATCTGACAGCCGGTGAGAATCTCAATTGCACAGTTCAAGGTAATTCTGGGATCTTGTTATTGTTTGCAGTATAATTTTTTTCTTTATGCATTTTACTCTAACAACCTCTTTGCAAAATGGCATTCATCCTTAATAAACATCAGCTCTAATAGGCATGGATGTATCATTATGAAACCCTGTTCTGCATCACAAGCAAACAAGGTGAAGTCGGCTTCTTGACCATTTTTCAGACTATGAAACCAGTTAGAACCCCCCAATGCTTCCAAAGATATTCAAGTCACAGGCTAAAATATTTGCTGTCATCCGGTTCTCAGGGCAGCTCCGTCCCCAGAGGGAGAGCAGTCTTTGCTGACCTGCTTTAAATTCTTCAGCTCCTTGAGGCTGGCAGATCACAGGAACGCTAACAGAAAGCCACATTCCAACACTACCAGACCTCAAGTGAGAAATCACCCCAGTGCTATTTCACAAGGTGATTCTCAATTACACAGGACAGCAAGGTTCTGAGTCTCCGTGACTGTTAATGTAAGAATTCACACT